TTCCTTCCTTCCTTCCATCTTTTTTCTCTTTGTGCTTCCCTTTGGATATTTTTAATTGCTATGTGTTTCAATTTACTGATACTGTCTTATACAGTGTTCAACCTGCTGTTTAGACCCAACCAGTGAATTTTTCATTGTAGACACTGTATTTTTCATTCCCAGAAGTTTCTATTTTTTATCTTCCATTTCTCTTTTCACTATATTCTTGTTTTATAAAAATATAATTGATCATAGTTATAATAGCTGTTCTCTTTCTATCTACTAATCCTAACATCTCTGTAATTTGGGGGTCCATTTCTACTGATGGATTTTCCTTCTGGTTTTGTACCACCTGTTTTTGCTTCTTGATGTGTCTAGTAATTTTTTGTTGGATGCTACACATTGTGAGTTTTACATTGTTGAGAATCTATATTCTGTCCTCTTCCTTTAGAGAGTATTCACTTTTGTTCTGGCAGCCAGTTAAGTTAGCTACAGCATAATTTGACCTTTTAGAGCCTTGCTTTTCAGTTTTACCAGGAAAGGTCTAGGTAGGCTTTTATGCTAATGATAGTTTCTCACACTACTAAGGCATGCTATTCTGCAGTCTCTACTGAATGGTTTCAGTGGTCACCAACAATTCTCCAGTCTGGCTCGTCAACTCAGCTGTCTCCCAATCCTGTGTGAGGCTGGTCAGTTGTTGAGATCACAGCTCCCTGGTCATTTTATTCCGTTAAAATTCTTCCAAAGTTTTTTTTCAAGTGGGTTTTATATTTTCCATTGTTAAGTTTTATATATTTTTTATTGGATACAAAAACATAGGAGCAGAAAAGAATTGTTGATATATTATAAATGGAAAGTATAACGTTTCTTTAAAGCAAATCACATTAAGTAATCCAAATCAAAGACAAGTAACAAACAAGGAAAACCACTGAAATTCCTAATCACAGACTAATTTGATTTCCCCCTAATATAATAAAGAGCTTTTTCTAAATAATCAAGTAAGAGAAGCAACAAGTCCATAGAAAAAGACAAAGGATATGACTGATAAGTTTAAGGTAAAGGAAATGGAAATGCTCAAACACATAAGAGAGCCCAACTTTACTCCTAACAAGAAAATGAAAATTGAAACAACATAAGAATCATTTTATTATTAATTGGAAAAATAATTATAATTAATAAGTTGGATGAATCACTGTGGTTGGGGGAGGGCTCGGGAACAGGACTTAAGGTAGCTTGGATGGTAAGGAATAAAGACTCCGCAGACACCCAATGGGCCAAACGCTAATTCCTCTTAATCACAAATGCCATGTGCCTTTTGACTGATGTTGTGCCCATTTCTAGAACTTTATCTATATTATACACGCAACAAGGATAAAATGACAAGATTTATAACAAACCTTCATATGAGCATGCATGTTAATTAAAATAATTGCAACCATTTAATATCTACCAAGAGGAGATTGGGTTAAACGTGTACAATTGACTATCACAAAGCCATTAAAAAATGAATTAGATCTTTATATGACAACCTAAAACTAAACCAAACAGAAAAAGGCCTCTGAAAGAAAAGACTTTTTATTTTGAAACAGAGCCTTGCAATGGGAATACCCATGCCATTAAGCAAACTGTGTCCAGTATTCCAGGGCATAAAGGAAGACAAGGGATTTTTGAGGACGAATGACAATAATTGTTTTTAAATAATTATTCCTTGCCTACAAAGAATCAAATAAGAAGGGGATGTCAGTCCCAAGTTTGGACAGGAGGGCTGGTCAGATGTCCTTGCAGAAGTTATCTTTTTTGTGAGGTTGTGATAGCCTTTGGTGCCAGGGTTTGTGGTTTTCTTTGTAAAGTTTTTTCATTGATTAGATAAAAGCTCGAAGAACTCTCTCCTTGTGGCCTTCTCCCAAGCTGCTATAGATAGTACAGGAGTTTTCATTAACATTAGTGACCCACCTTTAATTCTGGACAACGTTCGACAATATAAGTTGGATAGGAAATATCCTCCAAAATATATTGTTTAAGAAAAAGAAAAATAAAACAAACAGGTTGCAGAAAAAATTTAATATAGTAGTTATGTTTTTCCACTTAAGAATGAATAATATATTTAATAGATTATAATACACACACACACATTGCCCATATTTTCCTACAGATATAAGGATAGACTCTGAAGTTAATAAACAAAACCTCTTGGGAGTAATGGGGAAACTGGAGACAGAATAAGAAAGGGACCTATTTTTCATTCTGTTTGCATTTAAACCTTTCACATTTTTATATCATGACATGAATTACCAATTTAATAAATAAATAAAAATTTAAAATCATGCACTCCCAGGAAATGTGGTTCCGTTTAATGAAGCAACAGCTTAGATTGTTCACTGACCCACCCCAACATATACTGGCCTAGAACCCTGACTCAGGGTGAATGTCTTCCTTTCCACTTCTCTCTATCTTGCCAAGCTACTCCTGGGGTGGATATCTCCAAGGTCGCTTTATAATTACACTACATGGTAGCACTGCATTTAAGAGCTTCAGATTCTGAAGATGCTGCCATTCTGACAGCGAAAGATACCAAGGACCAGAGAAAGCTTTTCTGGCTTTAAGGGGATGCTTTTTCCCATTCTTCTAACATC